GAGCATCTCCTTCTAATCCTAAAAATCATGGTAGACCTTCTCTACAAAACCAAGCGTCAAAACATTTCTTGAAAGCGTACGGACCAACCCAATAATGTGTGTAATTAATGTGTTAAATGTGTGTAAAACAAATGTAAGAAAACAATGTGGCAAATGTAACGTCGGGTTATGTGTGGACTGTATAAAAGAATGGCATAAATATCATCTGTTCTTGTATGTATTGTATGAGAGAACGCATATAATAAAAGAATTAGTTTCGTATTAGTTTTTTTTTTACAACCTGCAACATTCCTATTTGGGATGTTTTCAGAAATATTAAATATTTTAAAAACAAAACATAATTCAAATAAAATTATACTGCTACATTAACTTTTGTGCATATATATAACTTATCCGACCAAAAAGAAAAAAATTTAGCAGTTAATGAGTAAAGGCTAATTTTTCAATACTTATGTTCAATTTTTAATTTCCTTTAATTGAGTATTTCTAACATTTAATTTTGTGTTACATTGTTTTGGAGTTGAGATTAATTATTTTGTGTTGTCTTCTAAAGGCGGAGGGGGCAAGTTAAGTTATCTTCTATATGAAAAATGCCGTAGAATTATACGTCTTTTCGTCTAACGGAGAGATTAAGGTTCCCATAAAGGGCCAAGAGCTCGTCTCGGAAGAGAGAGGTTTTAGAGACTTGTGGCGTCCCGCATGTAGCGGTACGACCGAAGGTCGCGCCCTCTAAAGTTACTAGAAGCATAGGGAACCACGCTACCAAGAAGCGGTCACTAGTCTGAACGTAGCCGTTGATAAGTGTACAACAAAGAAAAGCAAGTCGCGTCCTTTAAATAAAAGTAACAAAGAAAGTTCAGTCTAATTTCATTTTTACTATAGAGAAACCTTCTACACGCACCTAGGGATCCTATAGGAGGGATGCGCCATGTACATTGCTGGGGGACCGGAACTCGATTTTGCGTGCGAATGATTCAAACATTGAAATAATTATGAAATAATGAATTGCTCAAATACAGAAAAAAATGAACTATATTTAATGATAATGAAAAATTTATATTAAAATATAATAAGTTACACGAAAAAATTATTATAAATTTAATAAGAAAGACTTAATTAGGTTTCATTTGATAAAAGGAATTACAGTATTTTGAAATTTCAAAACAATTTGTAGGAATTTGTGGAAGTGAATTAAACTCTGTCTCGACGGCCGAGTTGGAGGCGTCGGTGGCGAGACGAAGCGGGGCGGACGGCGAGAGGAAGGCTGTCTAGCTGACTAGCTATCGCGAGGCTGCGCCGAGCATCTTCGAAGGCGCGGTCAGCTGCATCGTTCCAGATGAGCGGTCGACGACTGCCGATGGGAAGACCCCGGAGGAGCTGGTTAAGCGGTGCCTGAGTATGAGCGGCGTGCGGTAAGCTCCGTCTTAAAAAGTTTATCATACCCAAAAAAACGTCGCAAGCTCCTTGGCGTTGCGGGTTTTTGAAAGTTCTGAATAGCAAGGACCTTGCGCTCCGGAGGACGAATGCCACTCAAAGAGATCCGATTCCCCAAGAAGACGACACTGAGAAGTCCGAGCTGCAGCTTATCGACCTTGAAAGAAAGTCCGGCCTCCCGCAAGCGCGGGAAGAGAGCCCAAAGATGGTGGAGGTGCTCCTCGTGCGAGGAGGACCGGACGCAAAGGTCGTCGATATAGCAGCGGACGAAAGGGAGATCTCGAAGCAGCGAGTCCATAAACCGCTGGAAGGTCTGCGAGGAATTGCGAAGGCCGAGCGGCATTCGAAGGAACTCGAACAAGACAAAAGGCGTAGTTACATCCGTTTTTTCAATGTCGGATTCAGCCATTGGAACTTGAAAGTAGGCCTGGAACTTGAAAGTAGGCCTCCTGAAGGTCGATGACCGAGAAGACCGAGTTACTGAAACCATCCTCGAGCAAGTCTTCAATGACGGGGAGAGGATATAGCGGTCAGGCAACGTGATGGCGTTAAGACGACGATAGTCGCCTGTCGCTCGGAAGCCGCCAGGGGCTATTGCCACGAGGTGAAGTGGGCTGGCCGACGGGCTGGAAGACGGCCGAATAACTCCTTGTCGGAGCAGGCGGTCGAAGGTAGACTTAGCCTCGGACAAGCGTTCGCCGGCAAAGCGACGCGGGTGTTCGAAAACGGACGGTCCAGCCGTGACAATGCGGTGCACCACACTGCAGCCCTGAAGCACAGCCCCCGATTTCGACGGCAGAGCGAGGTCGGCGAACTCGGCGAGTAACGAGTCATAGGCGGCCCGATGGCACAAGTCTGATGAAGCTGCGACAGAAGCAACCCCGTGGAGGGCGACCTTCCGAAGGTGTAAGGCCGATTCCTGAGCCGAAGTCGGATCAACGAGGCGTTGGCGACGAATGTCGACCAAAAGGCCGGAGTGATTCAGGAAGTCCGCCCCGAGAATGGATTCGTCGCCACCGCGTGTGTGTGCACATCGGCCACCACGAACAACCACTGGAACTCTCGCGGAAGACCAAGCGAGAACGTCAGCAGGTGGCGACTGAAGGTGCGAATAGGGGTGCCATTAGCAGCGACCAGACGAAGTTCATCGCAGGAGAGCGATTTCGAGACGAAACGGCAGGGTAGGAGTGAAACTACCGAGCCGCAGTCGACCAGCATAGGATGCCGCAACAAGCTCTCGAATATGTGAAGGCGGTAGTCCGACAAGGACGAAGACTGGCCACCGATTACCGCCGAATTGTGCGGGGGCGAGGTTAGTTTTTTCTTTTAGTATCCTCCCGGTAACTGCAACCTGGCTTGCAGTTAGCCGCCCGATTTCGGTACTGCTTATGGTAATGGCACCATCGGTGCGACGTGGGGAGAGTCATCACTGTTAGTGGCGGTCTCGATGAAAGCACGGGTCTGGACGAGGACGAAGGTGAAGATGAAGATCCCACCGAAGATGGAGACCGCGCGATCGACAATCGTCGCGGAGGCGGCGACGAGCAAGAGTTTGCGACACGACTGAAAGCAGCCAGGATCTCCTGCTGCTGGTCGATTGACCGATTTATTGCCGTTGTCAAGTCCGATAATTTGGAGTGTACTGCCACTAGCTCCTCAGCGACCCGGTCACGCAGTGCACCAGACTCGCGCGAGGCACCAGCTGGTCTCGCACCAGCGGCCAGCGACGAACCGGGATTTGCCTGTCGGACGACGCAGATGTCGCGCGGGGCGTGCTCCATCAAACTATCTGCTCTAGCCGCCAATTCATCGAGATCCGCAGAGCGTAGATGGCGAAGGAGCTGGGTGATATGGGGGGGAAGCAGATCAAGCCACCGAACTCGGAGCACGTCGTCGCCGACGCAACCCCTGGCGAGGTGGCGCATCCGTCGTAGAAGTTGTGACGGAGTGCGATCCCCCATAGAAAGCCCCGAGAAAAGACTGTGAAGACGTTGGGAAACTGTGTCTTCAAACCTCGCCAACAAATGCTTCCGCAGATGCGCGTACTTCTCAAGCCTCGGAGGGCGTTGAAGCACGTCAATCATCTCTTCCACTGTGTCGAAATCAAGTGACGAGATTACCGCATGGTAACGGTCCGTATCTGAGACAATGTCGTTGGTGTGGAATAGTGACTCCATCTGCAGAAACCAAACCTCCGGACTTCGACGCGAAAAGCGCGGCCACGGATAGACTGCGTGGCGCCGAGCGTCGAGAGGAGTGGCGGCAGAAGGGGTCGCGGAGACGGGGGCGGAAGAGCCCGAATGTGCTTGACTGATCCCTTCGGAAACGGTCCCCTCCGAAACGGAGGCTCCGATCGGCGCTAGGGCCGCACTAGGAGTCAGGGGAGACGAGGGAGGAACCTGCTGACCACTGGGGTCAGTTGCAGGCGAGTCCTGATAAGCAGCCGCGCTCGACGAATCGCCGGCGGCGCGCTGCGAAGCTTCGGCACTTGTGATCGGCATAATTTTTGAAGAAAAATAAAAAAGAGAGAAAAAAAAGAAGGAAGACGAGCGAAAGACCGCGAGAGAAACAAGAGAAAACGAAAAGCAACGGATGAAAACGAATGAGAACGAAAGAGAAACGGAAAGAAACGAACGAAGACGAAAAAGAACGAAAGGTACCGAAGAAGGACGAGTTCGAACGAATTGACGATCGCACACGAGAAAGACACTGCGATGACGTAACAGGCCGAGCGTGCGAGAGGGGACGAGAGAACCAAAGAACAGGAGAACAAAATGGCTGCCAAAGACAAGACCACGACTTGAAAATGGCCGTTAAACGTTGCCACGAATCAAAATAGCCGACAAAGACAAGACGACGACTCGAAAAATGGTCGTTAACAGGGAAAGCCAGAAACAACGAAAAGAGAACGTTTTTTTACTGCCGATCACAGGCAAAACCGTATAGACAAATAGAAAAAGAAAAAAGAAGAAAAGATTAATCAAACCTGATTCTGCAAGATCACGTCGGGGTCACCAATGTGGAAGTGAATTAAACTCCGTCCAGAGGCCGCGCCGCGTGGCTAGTTACTGACCACTGTACTGACCAATCACCGACGCTGGACGACGACCAGTGGAAACTTCCTTTTTGTCACTAGTGACCTCACAGAACAGAATTGACGAGGAAAATAGCGAACAAGCACACGAGAAAGAAAAGACACAGAATTTAAGTGGAAAACAAGATATCAGAATCACGAGGAAGCGAAATATCGACTATGTTATTTAACTAACCGCACAAGAATGATCGAGATCGATTAAGCTTCCGCTGAATCCTAGATCATCGGGGTGCGGAGGCAGACGCGCCAAGATCACGCCACGTTGATCCGCCAATCAAAACCTCGGGTCGCAATCACGCCACATGCTTCGGCCAATCCGGTGCTGCCACTTCCTGGACCGGCTACGTGGCCGGGCAGATGTTGCCACCACCGGACGCGCGCACTCTCGGCGGCTGCTAGGGACATCTGCGAAGGTTGGTGCAGGCGTACAGGAAGGTGTCAGCACCGTCCTGGTGAGAATAAAGCACTATAGAGATGAGTACTCTCATCCGCCGTTTTTGCTCCTACAGAGAAGACACCAGTATGGTTTTGTATAGTAAACACGTTTTTTGACATCAAGCGAGATTGAATTATTTATTGATAATTGTTTTAAATTTCATTAAATAAATTATTTGATAGTTGATGTTAGTACTTAACCCTTCTATTTTTAACATTTAAAGATAGATTAAACTACAAAATACTATTCAATGATTGATTTATAAACATAGATAACCTCTCTATTTGGAACGTAATGATTTGGTAAGTAATGTTTTATTATTACTCTGAAAAATAGATAATCTGTTTAAATTATAAAAATACTGGATTTGTTTAGTAATATATATTAAATATATTGAATAACATATTACGAATAAAAGCTCAATAACTCTTATTTTAATTTTAAAACAGATGAAAAGTATGACAGTAAAAAAGGAAGACAAAAACAAAAGATCAGTGCTGCTGAAAGCAAAATGGTATTATATTCTTATTTTGAAACATTTATTATTTATGTTTATGTTATATAAATATGTAAATTAATTGTAAATTTAAAAATAATAATTGTATCTTTTTTAGAAGTGTGAAAGTGGAATAAAATCTGTTGACGAAGAGACCATTATGTCTTTGCTTGCTGAAAATCTATCTATATGAAAATCTATGAGGGCTATCTATAAATTGTATATATTTAAAAAAAAAAAGTAATGAACTGCACATAGCATAAGTGAGTAGTTAGAATTGTACATTTGAAATAAAATAAATTTGTATCATTTATATGAATATATCTATATTTGTTTATTCATTTGTTCCGTTGTAAAAATATTATAAAATTATAAATAATAAAATTAACATCATTATTAACAATGCACAATATATGTGCAGCAAA